CTTAGGATGGCCGAAAAGCATGACTATTGATTATCCGAACGATCGTTTATATTGGGTGGATGCCAAGTTAAAGATAATCGAATCAATACGCTTAGACGGCACCGATCGAAGAGTTAGTTGTACACTTGTTTCTTTCTTGTTAATGAAATACTTTAAGATACAATTGATATTCTACAAAATTTGTAACTCAATTTGCAGCTTGTACTACATGATATAATACAGCAGCCATTTTCTTTGGCGATCTTTGAAAATAAATTGTATTGGAGCGATGAAGAATCAAAAACAATAGAGTCCTGCAATAAATTTACTGGAAAGGATTGGCAAACCTTGTATCGAATCAACGAAGAACATCAGCCTTATAGTGTGCACATCGATCACTCGGCTATAAAGCCCAAAGTATGCATCGTATTGTGATGATACATTTTTGTTACAAAAAAAATACGTTTCGAAAAGTTTGCATTATTTTCGTATTAAATTGAATTTCAGATTAACAACCCATGTCACTTCAATCCGTGTTCTGAGCTGTGCATGTTGAATCAGGATAAAGGATACACGTGCGCCTGTACTATGGATAAGGAATTAAGTGCCGACAATCATTCTTGTCGAGGTAAATTCGTCAAAGAAACGAGGAAAAACACCCAATCCTTAGAACACATTTACATATGTTGCATTAACAAAATTAGAATTTTGATATTAACGGATTCTTATTATGTATTTATTAAAAGTAAGCATGAGAATATAATTTTTCAGATGTGAAGCAAAACAAACATTTGTTAGTCGTCGCACGTCGCGGGTTTATGTTTGGTAATATGGGTAATATGTTTATAACATATTATCACCAAATGTTGGGAAAGCCGAAACTGATCACAAATACCACAATGCAATCAACACTATTACCAGCAAGAGCATTTATAACGGACGTAACGTCTGATCCGACCTCTGGTATATCAGAATTGCTATTTTATCAAAAATATTACAAGCGCTAGTCTAACAACCTGTCTTTACGTTAACTTTCTCTTATAATTGTAATTTATTTAGGCGAGGTAATTATATCATATAAGACATCAGAGACAGAAATCCTTGTACGCTACGATCCAGTCGGCAACAACTTTCGAAAGATCATGTCGATCGACTCAACTAATTTTCAAGGAATAGCATTTGATTATATTGGCAATAACTTGTACATGACAAACGCGCACAACAATACTATCATGGTACGCAACATGAAAACCGAGGCAATGACGGAGTTTTATTTTAAGGATTTAACTCCTCAATATGTTACATTGGTGCCTGAAGAAAGGTATGGCGAGAATTGGTTACACACTTACGAAATGATTATCAGTCTTTGTTAACAAAACAATAATAATATAAAATATTACATATTATATGTATATTGTAGCAAGATGTACGTAGTGTTCCAAAGAAATTACCATTTTTCAACAAACGGTTATGTCTTATATGAAATGAATATGAATGGACTTGGCGAAAGAAAGCTAATTAGGGACAACATGACAGCAAGGATAGCAATGTGCTACGATAGAGATAGTAAAACACTTTTTGTGAGTGAAGAACTGGCTGGTCGTATCTTGTCGTATTCGGTCGCTGAAGGTTTGCGTTCTTTACTTTTACAAACGTTTGAGTTTTGAAAGATTTCGTTTCACAGATCTTTGAAACATTTGAAATATATTATTAAATTAATAGATTAAATTTTAGTATAAAAATATATTATATTAATTTATACAATATTTTATTACAAAAAATGCATTTGTATAAATATCGTGAAAGTATATCAAACAACGTATTTTTAGGTATCCGTATCCTTGGTACTGGATTGAAACCTGCAAGTCTTGCTGTCGCTGGCGACAATATTTTTTGG